GCCTCGGCTTGGTAAGCCGAAGGTCCCGGGTTCGATTCCCGTTGGGCCCCTCAATATTTTTCTGTCGTCGGTTCCTACAGTATCTAATAATAATGTTAATAATAATATGATAATAGTATCTAATAATAATGTTAATAATAATATTATAATAGTATCTAATAACAATGTGTGTGGGAAAGGCAGTGGGTTCGTAACATTGATAAATAATTTATACAACGTATTTCATGTAAATGTTTATTCAAGTATTTCTTCATTTTCGTTACATTCATAAATACATTGTGTAATGTGAGTATAACTAATGGAAATAACGCGTTTCATATTTATTCGAGTATCGAAACATTGTCGTTAATAGGATGGACGAAATCTTCGCACGTTTCACTTTGTTTCAAACTTTTTTAATTAATCTGATAAATCGCAGGTGTATCTTGTATTTTTCTTCGGTAGCAAGACGAGTACGTGTGTATCCATTTCTGTTTGCGAATGGTACTTTGGTCTTCCTCTTTTTGGCCAGAAGTTCCAAGTTCGAAATTCTGCATTTTCTGCTAGAGTAAGTTTGTAAAAGATTTCGGATGGAATATCGTGATGAAATCTTGTCCACTGAAGTCCTGGCTAACATACATTTCGTTCTCCTTGAAATTGAAAAAGGTATAATATAAAAAAAAATATGAAGCTTTCAAAAATTGCAATATATTTCGCACTTTTCGTGCACAAAACAATTTTTTACTACGGACGAATGAAAATGTGTTTGCGAATTCATATTCCTTTCGCTTTAAACGGGGAATTTTCGAAATATCGAAAATTGAACCATTTCTATGCGACAAAATGTGTTTCAAATTTGTCGCATGTGTAATTGCAAACCTGCTGCAAGAAATTTTGCATAGCGACATATGCCATTCTCAAAATAAGCATAATCACACTTCTGTTGAACAGTGAAACTTCTGTCAATAAAATGAAATAAAAATTTTGAAAGAAATTGCAAATGAAACGTTCGAAAACAAAAAGGCCACGCATATTAACTAATTCTCCTCGAAAAGTGGCTTACGCCACTCTCAAACTAAACGACTGGTACACAGGTAATACGGAACAGCGTAGAATATCTCGCAACATTTATTTCCCTCGCAAGTAGAAGCGTAAAAACGAAGAACAAACAATTCGAACGGAAAACCAAAGCTTTATGCACACAGACTTTTTTTCCATTAGCCGCGATGGCCGCGTTTTTCTTCGTGGCAGAAATATGCCATTGCTTTTTAATTGAAAAATACCGGAAAACAAAAGCGTTATAATATTTTCAAACGTGTCAGAGACTTTTGCGCCACTCTGTATTTTCCCTCAACGCTTTAACTGTATGAAAGTATACGAACAGTACATGCGTACATGCCTCTCGATATGTCGACAATGTGTATTACTCTAAAACGTAAAAACCGTTTGACCAAAAAATCATATTTAAAGTGTGTTATTTACAACAGGATATTTTCAAATGTGACTGAATATTGTTTACAATTTAACATGAAATTATTACGCGTAAAATTCATTTTCACCGGAATAAACCGAAATTGAGAGATACACTACCGGCCAAAAGTTTGGAATCACCGAGCATTGCAATTTACAGAAAAATTTACAGAAAAAAGTCAGCGACTTTGAGAATTTTTTGTCGTTCGAATCAATTGATATGAGATAAACCGGTAAATGTGGAATTTAGATAATCTTCGAATCTATAAAAAAATTGGCAGCAGATTTAATATTGATGAAAAGTGGGAGGTGATTCGAAACTTTTGGCTGGTAGTGTACATATGTGCATATATTTAATCGACGTAGCTGCATCATACACTTAGCTGTATTAAATCGTAGATTGAAATCTTCCTGTCAGGATTATGAACGTGTGCGTTAAGTTTCAAGCTTCGTCTTCACTCCGCTTTCGGCCAGGTAAATTGGTTAGATGAGCGGGTTCCAAAATTGACGAAATCCAATTAGAAAGCTTAACTAAATGCTAGATTACGTTTTGCTAAAATGAAATCAGTTGCAATTCAATTAGGGGGATATTTTCGAACTGAGAAGGAATCGGTAAGATGAGTAATCAGATAAAATTTCGGTCGGGCGAGACTGTTTAACGTGCGAAAGATTTGAAAACTGGGATTCCTCGGATTATTCCTCAAATTCCTCGCTACGTAATTGTCTGGTTATTTTCAGAACGAAAATAAAATTGTTAAGGGTGTGTTTTAATGTAGATTTTTTGAAAAATTGCTTTTCGACCTTTTTTCAAAATTCAAAGTGCCCCCGTTTTTCCAATTTTCAATACTTTTCGTTTATCCTGGTTCACGTCATAGCTGCAGTCATTCTAACGAAGCATCCCTTTGGCTTTTTCGTTTAGGATGAACTTGAATCATGTCGGGAAGTAGAACACTCTTTTTTCAAAGGTACCGCACTGAATAATTTATAACTCGGTCAATTTTGATTATTTTCACTTGAAAAAAATTGTGAATATTCTAAAAGCACGAATGAATATGTGAGTAAAATATTGATCCAAAATGTTATATAGTTTGTTTGCAAAAAAATCTCGAAGATGACCTAAAATATGACACTCTAGACTAACACTCTTTTTCAAAGGTACCGTACTGAATAATTTATAACTCGGTCAATTTTGCTTATTTTCACTTGAAAAAAATTGTGAATATTCTAAAATCACGAATGAATATGTGAGTAAAATATTGATCCAAAATGTCATGTAGTTTGTTTGCAAAAAAATCTCGAAGATGACCTAAAATATGACACTCTAGACTAGAATTCTTCCTTAATTATCTATTGCTATTGTAAAATTTATTTACCCACTTGCAGTAACTCTATCAAAATAAATAGTTAACTGTATCACGTCGGAGATCAAACTCTTCCTGACTTCTATCATTCGAATCTTCGTATTTACTTAATATCGAGCCAGCCTTGAGCCGAAGGTTCGTTAAAAGAGGCGAGTAGTTACACAGAAAGCGATTCATCAGTTACCGTAATCCAATACAACTGCCATTTGTTGGTGTAGAATCGAGGAAATTGAATTAAGCAAGGAA